CTACGGCTAAAGTTTCATAGAATTCTGATGTTTTTTTACGGAGTTATGCATGATCAACGAAAATTTTAAGGGGTGGTTGGAGACTTTTGGTCACCCACTGTATATTATTACACCTATAATCATCTACTATGCTCCATTGTCTGCTTATTAATATTAACAATTACTATATCAAATATTCGGTGTATCTGGAGCATTGTTAAAGGTAATGTGGAGAGGCGAATGCTAAAAGATCATGAACTAAAGCGATGTGATGGGAAAACATCACAGATTCTAAGACTAATTGATGCGCATTTGTGTCACCCACTTATGCCTAAAAGGAAAAAAAAAGAATTTTTGTCGTTTTGTCGTTTAACTGATACTATTCACATTCGCCAATAAGCAAAATGTCAACAGTCGACAAGATCAGAGAAAGTTGGGCATCAAACTCAGTTAAAGCAAAGACTATGTCATGTTTTATGTTGCATGGGTTTATAGACCGTACAATAACTTTCGTACTCGTTTCATGATCTTTGCTTCCATATATAGTCGAAGCCGAAATGGCTAGGACGCAGAAGAACAAAGCAACAGCGCGTCATTTGGGCTTGCTAAAGGCAAAATTGGCGAAATTGAGAAGAGAATTGCTGACCCCTTCAGGGGGTGGGGGTGGGGGTGGCGAGGGGGGATTTGATGTGGCAAAGACGGTGAGTGCATAGCAAATGATATACGGGGGGAGGGGCTATAGAAGAAGAGAGGCATTAGGTTTTAGAATTACGTTATTCTTTATTGATCAGACACTAACGAAAAACTATTTTTACAGGGTGTTGCAAGAATAGGCTTTGTAGGGTAAAGTCATCGTTTTCAATGAAAACGTTTGCGACGGGTTGAGGGAGGGGATGGGGTGGAAGGAGGGAGGAGGGGGGAGGAGTGTTTGTTCGATTCGATTCGATTCGATTCGATTCTAACACTTAAAACAATCATACACACTACACACACAGCTTTCCGTCAGTTGGGAAATCGACCCTGATGTCAAAGTTAACAGGCACATATTCTGCCGTCGCCGCTTATGAATTTACGACATTGACTACGGTTCCTGGAGTGCTTCAGTATAAAGGGGCGAAAATTCAGATCTTGGATTTACCTGGGATTATAGGTACGCCCAAGTTTGTTTTTTTTTTACATTGGAGTATGAGATGAAGGTGTAAATCCGAAAATGATGTAGGAGGGGAGAAAAAGAAAAACAGGAAAGAGGATATTCGTTGTATGTGCAAAGAAATTGTGATAGTTAATTTTTTTTTTTTTTTTTGCTTTGATGATTTTCTGTAGAGGGTGCACAGGTGAGGAGATCAAAAACCTATCGTAGCAAGACTTGACGAATTAATGTTCCGTGTTACTGTTTTTGTTAAAAACATTATGGACATCACGTTTCGACGACTTTCGGATACCAAACACTTTTTAATACTCAACATTCCTTCTCCATTCATGTTTCTCTCCCTTCCGCCTCTCCTCTTTCTTCCTCCTACTTTGATTTCTCTAGGACGGCAAAGGTCGTGGCCGACAAGTGATTGCAGTGGCCCGCACATGTTCCCTAATATTTCTTTGTCTGGATGTATTAAAGCCTCTCACACACAAACGCCTCATCGAACACGAGTTGGAAGGCTTTGGGATCCTTCTCAACAAATCTCCTCCAAACATCTCGTTCAAGAAAAAAGAGAGGGGCGGAATTAATATGACGAATACTGTCCCGCTGACGCATTTGGATTTGGATCAAGTGAAGGCTGTCTTGGGAGAGTATAGGATTCATAACGCGGACATTAATTTTAGATGTAATGCTACAGTGGATGACCTCATCGACGTTATCGAAACGAGAATTTATATTCCGGCTATTTATGTACTAAATAAGGTAAAGTGAGAGAGGTGAGGCGTGGAAGTAATATATGTGTGATCGAGAATGCGAGAAGGTTATAGGAATACGTAACTCCATGAGTATAAGATAGGCCGTGCGATTATATAATGATGTGTAGACTGTCCCAACACCATACTAACATACACTTTACGTCTAGATTGATCAAATTAGCATCGAAGAATTGGATTTAATTTACAAGATTCCGCACGCAGTTCCCGTTTCGGCTCATCATGTGAGTTTCTTATGCGTTGCTATTTGCACGTTTAGTAATTTGACTAAATGCGGCAATTTTCTTATCCCATCCAACTAGGAGTGGAACTTTGATGAACTGTTGGAGAAAATGTGGGAATATCTCAATCTAACTAGAATGTGAGTGTATTATTTGCCGATATGCGCGATTCCGGATTGCAAAGTTGTTACTCACGACTTAATGTCTCATTAACAGTTACACAAAGCCAAAGGGCCAGTTACCAGACTACAGCGCACCTGTTATACTTCGGCAGAATAATCGAACCGTTGAAGATTTCTGTAACAGTATCCACAAGACCATTGTCAAGGAATTCAAGTAGTATGTATTTGAACGTCGGGATCCAAGAATAAGGATCACGTCACTGATATTGCGTTGACACACGTTCCGTCAAGGTTATTCTAAGTATTGCTTTGTTTTTTAGTGCTCTTGTTTGGGGAAGTTCAGCAAAACATCAACCGCAAAAAGTGGGCTTGACGCACATGTTAAATGATGAAGATGTTGTACAAATTATAAAATAGGCTGTGGGGTTAATGGGTTGCAGGGGCAAATGCTGGTATGCGTTCTCGCCTTTTAAACACCTTATTTGATTTACCCAATTTAGAATTAAGGTGCTCTAATTGCAGTATGATTCTACGCAAAAGAACCCTTCAACAAACTAGCATACTTGGACTTTTTCCAACACGCGATTTTGATCCAGTCAGTTATTCTAATTTAGACTTAACAACAATGGGAGGATTAATAAGAGACCGTTACTGTTCATTATTATTATTATAATTAAATCTCGATTTACTTCAAAAGTAATATATATCAATCTAATTATTGGAAAAATACTTGTTTGACATATTGCTGTTTGGGTACAAGGACAAAATTTCTATTAACGTGAAGGCGTTTGTTCGTCGATTGACAGAGTTGCTCTATAAACAAAATGGTGCTCAGATCTCATAAACAGCGTGCTATTTCAATTTCTGTTGACGCTAGACATTTCTATGATGTACAGTCGTTGGCTGGAACTTTTATCGTTAGATTTATACTTTACTTTGTAAATTCAATTGTTTGAGCAAGTGTAATTACCATATTTTTTTACGCCTTTTTCACTGACACTTGTTAGCGCGCGCCAGATTACAAAACACATTGATCACTTGAATTCAGTCGAAAAACTTTTTCGTTTATTCTAGGTCAATGTTTCCAGTTACACACATCAAATTTGGATGTAATATATTGCCAGCCCAGCTATTGACAGCACATTTGCCGGAGTAAATTCAATGTGTTTGCGTTAAAAATGTTCATTAAAGTAACTTTAAATTTCGACACGTTTTTTTTGTTGGCCAAAAATTACGTAATTTTTTTTTTTTTTTAAAAAAAAAAACAAACTGGGTCAACGTAAAATAACGGGTACGCGTTTAGTTCTAACACATTTTGTAGTCACTCCTTTTGGTTGTATATCGCACCCGTTTATTTTTTTTAGAGGACGTACATTATATGATTTGTCCGCTCAAGGTGTGCTAAATTAACGAGTTGCAAGTCAACAACGCTGTTTTGTAATATAAAAAAAAGCAATTAATGAATGTAGTCTGTATTCGATATTTTATGACATCTTAATGCGTGACAGGAAGAAACCGTAAGATACAAATAAAAGACTTGTTGTTGTACAATGCCATCATTGGTTGACCTATGATAGATAATATAAACAGCACAATTACTACCAATTTCTGTTTACGGTACCCTTACAGTGATCGCTAGCAACTTCGAGTGCCCAAATCTGATAAGGGAGATAACTTCTAACTAGCGCTTATTTTTTAAGCTAGTATTGTAGATCAATAATATTCGATAAAATGAATTGACTGTATCGATATCTACAGAATCTTATTGCCTAAAAAGACAGATATAACATAATAAATACACGAACGTCATATTTACTTGGGAGAGAAATAAATCTATGTGTAAGCTATAGTAGTAGGAATAAATATATAAGGAAATAGACGCCTTATCACTATAAATTAATTACTACATAATTAATTGTCCACAACTGTTTCTGAATTTAGGCAAATTTCCCGGTAGATAAGATTTTATTCTGAACGTCTGTCGGAATTAGATAATAACAATCAAAAAACTCTTATAGTTCTCTGCTTTTGAATCACGCGTCGATATCGTATTTTACCCAAAAAGTATCTCGTACCAGAACTGCTTAAGAATGTGACTAACTCAGTGGCAATTACTATCAACAAAATTATGTGTCTAAGTTGATTTATAGATTTACAACAGTGATTAATTTTGTAAATCTGATTATAGCTCGACACATTATATAAACCGACGTGTTGTTATATGTCGAATATTATAAATTAATACTAGTGTTTTACAGCCTCTCCCTAGCATGTTTACAAGCTTTTTATTTCGCCGCTCATCGTACATTTATTCTACAATTTTGCATTTATTGTTATGTTATTTGGAAAAAAGGTCGTAACTCGATAATTGTTTAGCAAAATAGACAAAAATAAATGTAAACAAGCTTGGCCTTCAAGAATAGTAATTTTGGTAAACCATTTAGATTCAATAGTTTTGTATAAATACTTGTAAATAAAATACTATGGTCCAAAATTTAGTAGGCGCGACGTATTCCAACGCTTTTATGTATATAAGATTAATACAATAATATAAATAATATAACATCAAACAATAATATTCAGTAAAAATTTAATTACGTTAACAAGAAAGCGCACAGACAAAAGTTGCTTTAATGTCCGACACAAAAGCATAACCACAACGGGCTGTTTAATTATCTGAAGTACTATATTTGGTCAACTGCATATAAATGTGTAACAGTCATTTGCACACAAAAGTGAGCAATATATTTTTGGCTTTTTTAGCCAGAGTTGTAAATTCTACGTAAAGCGTTTGTTATTATCAGGATAATTTTAATCCCCACGAAAATTTAGAATAACAGCTACCATCACAATATGGTAAGTGATTTAAGCGTCTTGTTCTTTATTCCTATCTGAAAAAGCTTTCGAATTTAAATAAAATATTACATACCAGTTTAAGTTGTTTTACCGGATGCAAATCTTTTTCGTAAAATATCGATTGCTCATAATTAAATAAAATGCTTTAGATTATTATTGCGTATTCTGCAACAGCAGATTTGTCCTCTCTTACCATCGTCAGTATAATCCATCTGATATTTTTGTTACTATCGAATTTATTTTATTACATTTGCACAACTTAACAAAATGTAAATATTTTTCACTATTCCAAAAATTAATGCGGCTTACATATTCCGAAAATTTTGTTAAGCCTATCTTTTTATGCTGCACATATCTTCCCCAACGGTTAACGATAAATGCCACTACAGTATAATTTTTTGTGACATACGGTATACGTTAAGTGCAGTGACTTTTTATATTACATAATATTGTGGTTAAGTAAATTATTTTGCCATTCGTCCTTGTATTATATTACACATTTCCCAGTGTAGCTTCTTCCTCTAACCTATCAAATGTAGTCATTAAACCATGTTTTTGTTATTTGGTTTACGTAACATCACGATAAAACTTTTATCCAAATTTACAGTTGCTCATTAGTTTCCTAAAACATAAGTAAAAATTGTTATTTTGTTTACATACTTTTCCATTATGTTTGTACAATGTAACAGTAAAACAATTAAAATTTTATTCAACTACTTTCGCTAACTACCTTATTATGATCCGGTGCAAAAAAGTAGATGTCTCGAAAATCAATCACCATCACATTGTTAATTAAAGTTGTGTGCAATTTTTAATTACACATGCTTTTCAATTTTAAACAAGTGGATAACCATATTATATGGTATATCTCTTAACCTGTTTGAGAATGCTTCTATTTACGAACAAGCAAATTGCTGCTCGTCTAACTGAAAACAAAAAAAAAATAATTAAAACATTTTTCAGAGGAGAATTTCTCATCAAAGTTTACACTATGCAAGCGTGTTGCTGAGGCAGAAAGTACAGTTGAGTAGGTTATTTATAAATAGAATGAGTGTAAGAATGGCCCATCTGCCGAGCAAAAAAAAAATACGACAGCCGCGATTACAGACGTAAACAAAACCGGAACGCCTGTTTCAACAGCAATTCTGCGACAATATCTTGCTGAGAATGAGTCTACGCTTTTTAAATAAAAACTTCTTCTTTGTTGCACACATTACAACCACGGCAAACGTAGAAATCTTTTACACAATATATCGTTTAAGTGCCAAAACATTCGTAGTTGCTTACCAAATTTGCAGCAAACAATAATATTCTAAGATTATTGTTGGATTGTGGCAAAGAACATTTAACAATGAGAAATTTTTTTGTACAATCAAAGTGACAATGCTTCTGCTTTCTAGAATTATGTTAAGCTGTTTAGCTCATTATTTTTACCTTATAAGTACACTTACTGGCCAAAAGTATTTGCCGAAATCTGTCGACCAATAGTAAAACATATGAAAAACCATTTTCGGAAATCGCCCTCGGCTGTATCTACTAACCAAATAACATTGTCTTTTGTATTATTTTGAAACTAATTAACTGTACTTTTCAGAAAACATACTGTTGAGTTTAAACAATTACGTAGCGCTTCGGTGAAGTAGTGATATGTAAGTTACACGCATATAGTTGTGTGTGTAATAGTAACCTATTAATGCCACTTCATTCTTATAACGATAGTAAATTAAATGTTTTGTTCTTTTTCTCGAATATCATACTCGTTCAGCTTTAGATTGATACAAAATTTATTGTTACTTACATAATAATAATAAATATGTTCTAAACCGATCTGGTCATCAGACCGATCTGAGATCTGATATATTCTCATTGGTCAATCTTGCGATTACCC